TTGTCAACTCAGTGTCACAGGGGCATTTGAAATTGCGTCCTTTGACAAGACTCGAGAAGATTTGTACCCATCAAATTCGAAAAAATAGTTGTTAGAATCCTGGTCAGATACTAAACTAACGTAAAAAATAGTTGCCAGGAATCGCTGCAAACTACTACTTTTTGTATCGCACTACTCACTGCGCTACTTTTTTTAACAAAGAAAAAAAATAGCACACTACACTACAGACTACGAAAAGAAAGTAGGGACTACAGTAGTTTCACTATTTGTAGTGTGCTACTTCCGACCATTGGTCTGTTCCACGGGCAAAACTTTTCATCGTAAATTCTCTTTCACCTCTATAAGTAATTTAAAATTATTTAAATATTCAAAAGAATTATAGTTTTAAATATTCGAAAGAAATTTTCTAAATATCAAAATGAAAATAAATTACGAGAGGATGTTGTTGTCGTAGGCTATTAGGGCAAGGTTTGTTCTTGTTGTCCAGTGACGCCATCTACGGCCAAGAATTCGACTTTTGCCACACGCATACGTCATATCCGTTTATAGGGCGGACCCATTCACGTATCCATTCATTCATTCACAGATCGTAATTGTGACCTGAACCAGAGAACGATCAATCCTCAATTCAGTACCCCAGATGTATAATTTGTTGTGGTAACATGGAGGACTTTGTGACCCGACAGATTTAACGTGCACCTGTCACCATTTATTACACAGAGGCTCTTCGACCGGCTGGATTCGAACTCCCGATCTCACGAACGCGAGTCCAGCTCCCTGCCAACCAGACTATACCGCCCTATTATGAGAGAATTACTTAGGATTATGCAATGGAAGTCCTCTTCCAATAATTTATTTGAATTTTTATATCTTTAATTTTTTTTCAGCAATTTAATCTTCATGGCTTATCTAGGTTTGCCTGAACTCAATTTTTCTGTATTTTAAATTTTGAATTAGTTACGGAGTTGAAATAGAATTTGCAATGAGAAGTTTCTCCCGCTGTATGGCGTCCTCTTTAAGTGTAGCCACCAGGATGGTCGCGACTGAAAAAATCCACTTACTTCTAACAGCGCATATGTGAGGATAGGAATGTGAGGATTTAATAATATGCCTATTCATTTTTAATTAAACTATTAAATATTGATATAATAGTCGACACAGCAGAACAAAGCTCTTCCTCAATATACTTTAGATTTGATCGACACTTTAATTTGATGATGGTTAAAGATGAAAGTGTCCTCTCCCACAAATATCTTCATCTACTTTCAGATACGTTGTATAAAAATATTTGGTAATTGTAAAATTATCATAATAATTTAAAGAACTACCGAAATCGTTAAATTTTCTGGAGACTCCTGCACTATCATTTTAACATTATCGAGACATCTTTTATTTACTGCTGCCATCTATTGGCAATTATTGTATCAAAAACCTCTAATTTTTATCTGCTTTTTCAGTTCGAAATACGTGATTCAAGTAAATTTTTAGATTAACAAGTTACATCAATTTTTAAATTATGAGAATATTTACTATCAATAAATGCAGGCTGTTAATATTTCCAAATTGTGGATTTTCTGTCCTTTTTAATCTTTCTATAAATGATCCATGGAATCAAAATGTCGCATAATAATGTTTTAAAGCTGAAACGTTATGCATATTTTTTAATTATCTACTTTAATTGATAATTATGATAATAATAATAGTAGTAGTTTCATATAACTCAACGTCGCTATAATTACAGATTATTCAATCTTCACCTTAGAATTTGCTTTTCACGATTCAAGAAAGTTGTTTTGAAATGAAATTTTAATGTAATACAAAATAATGAAAGTTGCAGCGATTCAAACAATAACTTAAGTTTATAATTATATGTAAGATAAACGTTATACATTCCTAACATGCAGAATATTAAAAACAATACATATATCAAAAATTATATTTTTCATCATATTTTTACTGCTGCCATCTGTTGCCGAATGCTGTAATTTTAGTGTTCGAATTTTATCATTAATTTATGAGAACAAACTTTTTTGGAAAACACTTAAATATCTAGCGAACAATAAAACAGTATTTTCGAAATAAATCTACTAAATGTTTTAGCTATTATAAAAGGCAGTATCGAAAAAAATTGGTCTGAATTGCAATGAAAAAAAAAAATCCTTAAATCAAACTCTTTGAAAATTGAAGCCATAGCAAACATGGACCTTCCGGGAAAGTCAAAGGGATGCACTTGCAAGTAAATAAAAAATAAATTCTTTTATATGTTTATAATTTGTTATTTTAAATAATTATAAACTCTTCTCACGTGTCATGGAATATCTTCGATTCTTTTAACTTAGAGCAAACCCTGCCTTTTTAATTTGATGCTAAAAATAAATTTTTTTTGTTAACATGCAGATACAACCAANAAAAAAAAAAAAAAAAAAAAAAAAAAAAAAAAAAAAAAAACTGTGGAACAAGAAATTTAAAAATTAAAGAATGTTCTCTTTTTTTTTTAGATATTAAACTGAAAAAAATTATTATTTTGTGTTTTAAAAGTTAAACTCTGTAAGATTTGTAAAATTAATGTATGCTAATTTGTTTGCTAATTTTTCAAAAAAAATATTTGCATTAATAACTGCAATAAATTAATTTTTTCTTACATTTTGATTTATTTTGTCTTTACGGTGAATGTATAATTTTAATGAGGATATTAATTAATTTCAGAACTACTGTTTTAGGTTAATTAAAGCATCACATATATATATAGTTTTCTTTTTTTTTTAAGGAATGTAATGATTTAATTTTACATCATTTCAAACAGGCTGGGGGAAATCTAAGCCTTTGATGACATTTTACAAAACAGGCGAGTACACAACCTGATACCTGGTCCCAAAAAATGGCCGACGATCTGCCAAGGATATAAATTATTCTTCTCACCAAATTTAAAAGTTAGTCACAAAATTTGCTAACAGCTGAGCCTGCTGACTGAATCAATTATAAAACAATGTTTTCTACCTCATATCAGACCATTTCAATTAAAATATTTGCACGGGCGTCCGTTGATTTTGTCTTCATCTGCACCACGTTGTTTTTGAAAATGGGGGTTATTTAGAAAACATAGTTTTAATGACTTTCCCGGTTTAACTAGGCTTACAAACTATAAAACTAACTTAAGGGGAACAAATTTCTAGTTTCCAAAACAAAACAAAACAAGTTGTACATTTCTACCCTTCCCTGTTTATTTTTTTTTTAATTGAATTTTCAAATCATCGGTAATTTCTAGAAGTACCAGTAGAGTATCAGCTAAATTATTTCATTAATTCGATAGCAAGAGTCTAAAACAATTACAAAAACATGGTTTTGAGATATGGGAGCATAAGGTTTGAAAGTTAATGCAGGTGGCCCTTCTAGAACATTCCTGACTGATTAGGACCTAACGATTAATAATAAGGGAGAAAACTTGGAAATCTAATTCTTCAAATGTTATCATAAACTTCAGAATAAGGTAATAAAAAAATCAATTGTTTAGCGTTACACCAAAACTATTTATCCCACTAATTATTATCGTTTTACTTTTATTATAAATTACAAAATTATAATTTTGTAAAATTAAAATAATTAATTTTACTAGAGTAAATAAATGCAATAAATAAATTATATTTTTAATGATCAATAACCGATTTGCTTATAAGATTGAATAATTCATGTTTTAGCGAGTCGTTGCCAAATTATTCGCCAAGTTATTAATGATTTCTGGGCCACTATGTAGACAAATTTTGACAATAATTATTATACAGCATAAAATTTTGGTAATTTAGATTTTTTTAAAAATACCGGTTGAAATGCGCTCGAACAGCCAGTCCATTATAGGGAGATGCCTCTAACGGCGTACAGTGACTTTTTCGACACTAGAATGGTCATAGATCACAATTCTTATGATGTGTCCAACACCCTTTTCAAGTTCAAAAACACCATGTAGAATGTTACAAAAAACTGGTTTGACAAGTATTTAATTTTCATAGCTTAAAACAATTAGCACCAACGCTTCGCGTAAAATAATAATTCCGAAACAAATTAAAATATTTAAAAAAATAATTACATATTTCAGTTTTTAGTTTACATAAGCATTTAGTTTTAACTGTTATTGTCGCAAGTAAAGATACAATAACTTCGAGACATAAAATAGAATTAAAACTTTATCTAGACTTAAAATTTTAATGTATACTTTAGTAGAAATTCGAAAGGCAAAGCAAACATGCAAACCATTCAAAAGAATTGAGTCACGTAAGATTAAATACTATGATTGGTTTGTTATTGCAAGTTTTCCTCTCTTTTATTGACGTAAGCATATTTTTTTCTTTCTAATTTAAAAAATAATTTCAAAATGTTTTTTTTTTACTTAAAATGAAATGAGTTATAAGGAAATTTTTCAAAAGAACATTTGTTTAGGACCAAATATAAAACTTTTTTATGAAAATTCAAAGGAATAAATTTGAGGAAAAATTGTATTTGAAATCTTTAGCCTCGTGCAATCTGGTTCATGCTATTAGTCAAAATAAAACAAAACTATCAAACAATTTTGGAACAATCTATTTTTGATAAATTTTATAACAATAAAAATTTTGGGGAGAGACAGTGAACAGGGGGCAGAGGCCACTGGTTATTTTAAAAATGCATAAGACTTACTTTAATATCTTTGAAGAATTATATTAAGGGTCTATAAATAAACTTTATTAATCTATTTCCTGTGAAAATAATAGTGGTGTTTCAATTGTTTCATTTGAACATGCTTCAAAATACTGAATACACTTTTTAAAAATAATTTTTTAGATATTTAGGTAGGTTATTTTTTAAGCAATTGAAAACAAAAAATTTGTGTTGATTCTTGCCCATAAACAAAATTTTAAAAAAAAATTCTAAAAATTTTACTCTGAATTAAATTTAAATATAATGGTCAGATGTGTGTTATTCTCACACATTTTGAAAGAACTGATATTATTGTTTTTCTTTTATTTCAGCTCCGATTGAGTCAGATGAACCTGTAATTTTAGAAGACAGCAACATTGAATCTTGCTTAAAACAAGGTTTACCGGACAAGGTAAATAAAACTCATTTCGAATTCTCATTTTCTGGCATTGTAACCCAAAATTAGGCAACTCTAATTATTTTATTGGCATAACATATCTTGACTGACTCTATAAACGATTTCTTTAATGAATTTATTTCGAAACATCTTTAGATTCAATTCGGTTCGAAAACTCAAGCGAAAGTTCTTTTTTTATTTGGTACAATACGACGTATTCTACTGGTACTTACACGTCATTATTCTTTGCGTACAAACGTTCTTATTGGATAGGACTAAATACTGTTACTAAACAAGGGAAAGTATTTTTTTTTTTTTTTTGCAAAAATATTGCTCAAGTAAAAGATTTTTATTGAATAGCTATTATTCTTGTTAGAACTTAGTAATTGGTTTGAAAGAATAAAAATAACTTTAAGACAATATAATTCTTTTGAAGTAATTAATTTGAAAAAGTTCTGGTAAAAGAATTATTATTTGGGGTAAAGAAACTAAATTATTACGGAGTATTAAGTAGGATTTGTCATCAGAAAAAAAAGAGAGGTGATTATCTTAATAATAAAGAAATAATAAATTTAATGATTATATGTTAAGCATAATAATGTTAACAATGCTATTTCTATTTCACATAATTTATTCAACAAAGATGCTAATTTAATAAACACAAATTACTGTTTAATAACGTTGATTCGCGCTTGAAATTGTGGAAAAATTAGAAGGGTGTGAAATGTCAGCATGTTTTGAATGCTTGGAAGTAGGCACCATTGACTGGTCAGACGTGAATTTAAAAAAAATAAAACCAGAGATTTAACGACATAAGTTCCTCGCCAACTCTCTAAAGCACTTGGAAATGCAACCTGCCTTGATTTACATGTGTTGGTTACCACCGTTTACTCTAGTTTAGTTTCTCACCGTCATAATTTTTCCATTTTTCATTTAAAACTTCATTTTTTTTGTATTTCAAATTTGTTTTGTTTTCCTCATTTAAGTCTAACGAGTCTGAAGAATAGGTGGCTATTTTTTGAGCGCTCCAAACATTTCGACTTTTTACACCTTTATTATTTCTGAAGCAGATGATGTTTTACCTACCGTGCAATTGAAAAATTAACTTAAACGACAAAAAAAACTCAAAATTTAGGTTTTTATGTATTTGGCATCTTTGTATGCACTCTATATTGCAAGAAAATTCTTTTCAAAAATAAATTTCGTTTTACCAATTTTTTGGCGTTCTATTTTAGCGCTCATAGCATGAGCAATTGAAAGGAAATTGTTGTCAAACCACTTTCCTCGCAATCAATTGTGAAGCGCTTATAGTTTGTCTACGGTAAGAACTCCCCCCTCCACAAAGTCTGAGACCGTCTGCTGCTATGGAAACAAAAATAGCACATTTCAGGGAGAGAAGCTTCTCTTCACTCTACGGCTAACACAATAGAAAGAAGAAAAAGATCCCCTTTCTCTCGCCGAGCCAAGCCTAAACCTGCCCTAGACAGTGACCCTACACCCCTACTTGAAATAGTTATATCTCGTTACCATAGTCACCGCCACGAGTCCAGACAAAGTGCTGGGAAGTTCTTACTTTAGCAAACTATACGTTGTTTTCTCAATTTCACGACAGTTTACATATTCAAGTATATCTTTCTGTTTAAGTTTCTTGAACTTATTCGTTTATTGTTAATTTGTGTACATTGTTTCAGATGAAGGAGACGTTCGTTTAGGGTTAATTTGTGTTCATTGTTTCAGATGAAAGAGGCAGTCGTTTAGTGTTAATTTGTGTTCATTGTTTCAGATGAAAGAGACATTCGTTTATTGTTAATTTGTGTTCATTGTTTCAGATGAAAGAGACATATGACATCTGTGCAGCTCAAAATCCAGATGTTGAAATGGTAAACGACAACGAGGTAAACCTTCTTCATTTTGCTTCTGTTCGTTTAAAAATAAAAATACTCATTGAAATCATTAAAATAGGAGGATTTAATATGATCTGAAGATTCATTTTTGATGACATGAAGATTAATTTTTCTTCAACTATGTCTGGATACTAAATATTTTCATAAATGTTAAATAGGAATTGTGTTTTAGTTGAAAGTCTGACATTTTTGCAACAAAAAATGGCAGTATTTATTAAAAGTTAACAAAATTGTAAACAGTTTAACTATATTTATTAAAAAAAGAAAAGAGAAAAAGAAATTGGGTGTTATATTGGCTCAGTTTACATCATTGAAAGTCAAAAATCACTCAGTGGAACGTATTATAAAGAAAAAATAATTTTAGGCTCTTAATAGAAATTTTTTCAACTTTTTAAACTAATTCCTGTCACTAAAGGAAATTCTAACTGTAGTTTGAAATTATTGCTGCGAACTAAATTTGAACTCAATTATTGCCAGAGTTTAAAATTTAGATCTGCCCAGAAAGCATATAACCTTACGGCAACCTTGTGTTGGAATTTTCTTCATATTGTCACGAAAATGTTGGTGCTAAAAACCTTTTTTCAATAGAGCAAAAATCTTGCAGTTTCAAACCTTTCATCCTAAAAGGATTAAAAATTATTTTTTAAAGCTTTTTTTGAAAAGTATTAACACTTCGGTCCATTCGGTGTGTTATGACGTCACACTAGTGATAAGATCAAATTGCATTGTCCATTAAAATTTCACGACAAGGTGGATTTTAGCTGAGCATACAAGACGTTGCGAAAAGAAACCTTATAATTACCTAGATTAAAGGTTATTTTCAAATTGAGACTAACTTTATTGAAGGATTTTTTCACGCCTGAAAACCCTAAGCAACCTCAATTTAAGGTTTTTATATAGAAGGTAGTTTTCCAAGATTTAGGGTTAGGGTAATATGCGCAGAATAGAGCAGATCTCGTTTTAAGGTTAGAAGGTATACACGTAAACCGCATTATAAACATTTTTAGGTTTACATTGAAAGGTTTTTGCTGATTTTTTCACGCTTGAAAACCCTAAGCAACCTCAATTTAAGGTTTTTATATGGAAGGTAGTTTTCCAAGATTTTGGGTTAGGGTAATGTGCGCAGAATAGAGCAGATCTCGTTTTAAGGTTAGAAGGTTTACACGTAAACCGCATTATAAACATTTTTAGGTTTACTTTAAAAGGTTTTTACTGAGAGAAAATAAACCTTATTTTGCTATCTGGACTGTGTTCTGCTACCACTTATCAAAAGCTGCTCTGCGGGGTGCTCGGCTTCCTATGGCTGAAAAATTATTTTAGGAATGCATGAAAATGAAACGGTCGGATGTATTATTTTTAGATAAAATAAAACAACAAAATATTACTCAGAAGCCAAAATGAATGCCTCAATTTAATACATATAGGTACTTTTCCGTTAGCCCGGGCGTAAGCGAAAAATTGCCAAATAATGTAGAGTTCCGCCAAATTTCTTACAACCATACGGAGAATGTTAGTTTGGGGCCACGTGCTGTATTCTTTGAATTTATTGAAAACAAAGCAACGAGGAGTAAACGATTCGTTTGAGCAAATTCTCAAGGACATCACCGTATTCTGTGAAAACCAATTATTATAAGCATTCCTTTTGGATAAAACTGTTTTGTTTAGAATTCATTAATATTTGCTTATAGTTGAACTTGTTTTGCTTACACTTAATAAATATTTGTTCATAGTTGAACATTTTCGACTTTTATTCTACTGACTGTTTTGTCGTTCGCATCGCTTGGTGACTTGGATCACTCTTTATTCACAATTGGCAACATTTGACGCCAGGCTAACGGAAAGTACCTAAATATACTATACAACATGTAATAAATGTATTCCTCTAAAATGTACATACATGCAGAGGTAATGCAAACAAGTTTTGAATCACCGGCAATGAAAGATGCAAACAGGCAGAAAAACTACGCATTCTATCCTGCACAATAAACTCTCTTTTATTTTGTGGCAAATAATTTACTTTTGCATTGGCCAGCATGGTCCCCAGATCTCACCCTTTCGGGGTTTTTTCTTTCTGTGCTCATAAAAATACACATGTATGTGCTTTCGGGTCCATTGATTTGAAATCGCCGGCATCGATGCAGATATGATGTTTAAAAAAATTATTATAAGATTGACAAAAAGTTACATAATTACTGATTACATAAGTTTGACAAAGATTATTATTTCAAGGTTGATGTATGCCGTATAAAAAAGAGAGTGCACACCAAACATTTGTGAGAAGTACATTCTAAAACTTTCTTGTATAACCTTTGCATGCATATGCATTTTTAATTAATGCATTTATTACGCGTTGCATAATATAACATATATGTCAGGGCTCGAAAAAACTCAGAAATTTTACCCGTCCCCGAGGACGGCTTGTCCAACAATGCACCCGTCCACCGTTGAAACTAACCCGTCGCTTTTAAATAAAAAGAAATATAATTTTCTCCTATTTATTACAAACATTTATATAAATTGCACAATGAATTAGTCGTTACTAGGAATACATTATACAGTAATAAAAGAAATACTAGGTTACTAATAGTAACCTAGTATTTCTTTTATGAAATAATTTAAATGACAAGGGTCAAGTTATCTGGAATGTCAAGTTATCCGAGGGTACTGAGTTTTTTTAAATGAATCAAATATGACGTTTGCCAGTTCCACAATCAAGCCAATAATTTACAGAGGTTTCTGCACAGAAATCTGAAAGGGGTTTTCTATTTAGGTAGATGTTCATAATTGCTTTTAAAGCTTCTTGTTTAAGACCAGTACGTATTGTGTTTTTTTTTAAGTTTATTGCTGCAAAGCCCCTTTCGACCGCTGCAGTACTCCCAGACAGAGAAAACATCAATATATGAGCAGTATGTTGCTGTATTGTGGGTCATTTTGCTGCCTTGTAACTTACAAGACTCTTGTAAGATAACAAAAATTGAGAATTTATCACGAACATTAACGGGAAAATGGCCGTCCGCGGTGACGTCGGATTCGAGAAATTCGTTGTCCGCGGAGAATTTTTGACCGTCGAGGACGTATATGTGCAATTAAGTCTTTCATTTTGACTCATACTGCGGAATAAATTGTATGTTATACAAAATATAAAACTATGCATACTGTGTATTATATATAAAATGTAATTGCAAAATTTTTCTACGCATTCAGACAAAGACAACAGCTTTAGCACATTAAAAATTAGTTGCATTTATTTTCCGTTCAATTCGCGGGTGTATTATCACAGCGCCTTAATTGAATTTTATTTTTAGGTACTGAAATGTGTTTTGAAAACTCAAGAAGTGGTAAGAATTTTTATACATCTTTTTTCATTTTAAAATATTAACCATTCTTTGGAACCTGCGTCCAACATTTAGTTCAATTTCATCTCTTAAAAAATAAGATTCTAATAGTTTTTCTGCTTGTAATGCTTTTAAGAAGTCAGTTTTTTTTTTCACTTTAAGAACTGAATCTAACCTTTACTAAGAGCATTTGCGGGTAAAGAATGTTAGACAATGCAAATCTTCATCTATCAAAAGGTACCTCGACATTGAATCAAGCTAGCATGTCTTATATACTAGTGAATTGATGTTTAATAATCGTAGTTACGCCACAATACTAACCCACCAAGATTTTATCATTATCATTGATCAATATAATTATTACATTTTATTTTAAAACCGTTGTTGAACAGCCGACCCAAATTTGGGTTTACTACTACTAATACTGAACTCCGTAGCCTTGTAATTTTGAACCCAATCCAGAAGACAAGGGAACTCCAGGATCAAGTATTGAGAAAAATTTGCCTTCTTGAAGGACTTTTTGATTGAAATAACCGCATTTGCGTTACATGGAGACGAAGATTGCTAGAACCTCCCACTGTTAGCCTGATGGCAAGGGGACTCTAACCCGTGATCTGTCTACCACTGAGGATTATCACGTCAGCACTGCGTTCGGTGCAAGCCAGATGCGGAATTCGTATCGACCAGCCATCGCTGGGATTCGAACCCGGTTCATCTCATTGGAAGATGAACGCTCTATCCCCTGAACCATCGCTGCTCAATATAATCATTATAATATTATTTTATATGTATTTATCGTTGTTGTCACTGGCAGTTAAGGTAAGGGGTACGATTTTTCTTGTTTTCCAGTGTTGCCATCTATGGCCAGGAATTAGACTTCTGCCACACGAATACGTCACACCCGTTTATAGGGCAGACCCTTTCATTCATCCACATATAGTAATTTTGACCGAAACCAAAGAACGATCGATCTCCAATTCAGTACCCCCAGAGGTTTAATTTGTTATGGGAACATGGGAGAATTTGTGACCCGACAAACGTGCCCCTATAACTATTTATTATACGGGGAGTCTTCGACCGGCTGGATTCGAACTCCCGTCCTTACGAACGTGAGCCCAGCGTCCTGCCAAAAAGACTATGCCGGTCGTATGCTATCAATTAGACTGTCATATGATAAACTAAACTCGGTCGAACAGTCAAAAATAACTGTTAGCTCACAAGAGTTGTGAAAATACCATATTATTTGCTATTTTATATGACGACAGAGCTTTCAAAAACCAGCTTTAGCAGATAACGTCATTTTAATTTTGCAAGGAAAAATTAAGGTCATTTTAAATTTTGTAATTTTTGTAAGTTTTGGAGCAAAGTCATTTTCTCTTGTCTCTGTCATTTCTACTAATAATGTCGTAGAAATTAAATATCAACAGTTCTTTTTACATGGTTGTCACGAGTGCTGTAAATGTACACCAGTGATATTAAACAGACTTTGTGCGAAAGTAGATTTTCTAAAAATCTCTTAATCGTTTGGTGTGCTGAATGCAAAGAGTTGGCCTGAAAAGTTAAATTTGTAATATCCAGCCACCCCCAACCAAAAAGTTCGGAAATTTGCACCGTAATAATTATGCTTAGTGTTCAAAAAAGTAAGGAAAAGTACAAAATTCCAGTTGCTGAATTTTGGTTGAGCAAGGAAAAGGCGCTTTTGTTTTGCTGTGTTTATTTTATTAAATACGCATTTTGTCTATTTTCTAAAACCTGCTTACTGAACTATGACCATTTTTATTAACACGCATTTCAAATCTTGTCTCAAAGAAAAACAAAATGAAGCTCTTACTAAGGACTTATTATTATTATTACTAAGACCCGGAGAACGCTTGGGAAAGTCCAGTTGGCAGGATGCGGGACTCTCGTTCGAAAGGTCACAAAGGTCTCCATGTTCTCGTGACAAATTATGCCTCTGGGAGAACTGAATTGGAGATTGCTCGTTCTCTGGTTCAGATCAAAATTACGATCTGTGTTAGAATGAATGAATGAATCCTTCCTACAAACGTATGGTGCGGCAGAAGTCGAATTCTTGGCCATAGATGGCGCCACTGGAAAAGCAGAACAATTGCACCATTTGCCTTAATAGCGTACGACAACAACAAAGACCCGAATTTCGGTGATCAACTCTCTCTTTTTGGACTTAATTACTCTATTTGAGGCCTTTTTTTTCATTTATAGAGAATTTCGAGTAATTTTTTCAATGCCATGCTTTTAAAGTATTCTGAAGTAGATTCATATTTTACATAAATAGAAAGCACTAGCAAAAGGTATTTAAATATTTTTTACTTTCTTTACATACGCATTTTAGAATTACTAACAACTTTAATAAAAAATTACTCCTCAATTTCACTCAATATACATAGTATTTCAATGCAGTTATATGTTATGTGAAATTTTAAGAAATTTATTATGGTTCAGATTTAATCTCTTGTTAAAATATAAGGTAATTTTTTTTTTCTATTTCAAAGGCTTATTTTGTTTTTTTTAAGGAATTTTTGTCCATCAAAACTCGGGCTCTAATTATTATTATTGTTATTACTTCCATTATTATTTGTATTATTTTATAGATTACCGGTGAAGAAGAGATGATTGATTTGAATAAACTCAAAGTCTCCGAAGAAACAACCGAAGAAGTAGTTTCCGATCAAGAAATGCCGGAACAACATTTGTTCTCCATCGCAATTCAGAAATGCGAGGAAAACGAAGAAGTTAAAGCGGGACAGGTAAAATGTTATAAACATATAAAAGTTAGAGGGATCCTCAGTCAAAGAGTTTAATGAAAAGTCATTCGAAATTAAACTCAGAAAATGTTCAAAAGAAATTTGCACTTCCCGCTTTCTATGAACGTGAAAAACAATAAATCGTAATTATAGTAAAAATTTAAAAAGAAAAATTTTAAAAACTGAGAATCATATATTCTGAATGTACCGACAAACATTTTTTTTAAACAAAAAAGAGTCGTTCTGTACATAACATCACATGCAAGGAACAAATGCATTGATAACGCAAAAATCATCTGCAACAATCTAAAAGTAAATAAAAAGAAAAAAGTTGTGATCGCCTTATTTGGATCACTGGTTACCCATTGGTTAAATGCTTTTTCTTTCTGAATTAACCCCGTTAAACGTCACAACATTTTGAATCATGGGTTGCAAAAACTGTCTCAATTGATGTTTGTCGTCAGATTGTTTTTCATATCCTGCCTATGTACGTGTTTCAAGACATCACAAAATACTTTTCATCCTTCAGCATTCATATTTATATTAAAATCACCATCAAGCCAGTTATTATACGTTAATAATAATAAGAATATCAAAATACTTTAAATTATTATTATGTAAATACATTAAAAATGCCTGCTAGCGAAAATAAAAAGAAGAACGGCAGCGGTCGCCATAGCAACGCGTGCAATGACCACGCATGCGCACTGTTTATTATTACTTTTGAACACAGTTGAAAAGTGTGAAGATGTCCAAATAATTTGCGCACGCCATCAAACCCAAAACAAAACCCATTTTGCCAATGGATAAAAACTCAGATCAAAACCAATTTTGCCATTGGATAATAATTAGTCTAATTTTTCATTAAAAAGATTTTAATCAGAGAGATCTGATTTTGGAATAGTTTCCTGATTTTTTTTTTATAAATTCTTCCGCTAGTTATTTTTAAATGCTCTAACTCATATGTTTTTCAATTAGCTCTTCAACTTCAATAATATATTTAAAACAATTAGCCACTAAATTAAATTGTAGTTGGTTAGGTATTAGAAGCATATTTTGTCTTAATTTTGAAATAATCGAATTTTGAATAATTTAATTAATTTTGAATAATAAACTTAACTAAAATTTGACTTGGACTTGATTCTAACTTGACTTTAAATTAAAAATATGAACTTTAGCATACTTTTTAAGTGAGAAGGAAAGAAATTGCTTTGATGGATTTGTTAGCAGAGAACTTTAATCCGAGGTTTGCATTAATTGATATTAGTGCTTCTTTATTCCTTTATCCGCACTTTCATTTACAGTTAAAAAATATTTATGTGTTTTCACCCATTGGCAAAATGGGTCTTGTTTTAAGTTGATGGCGTGCGCAACTTATTGGGACGTTATCACACTCTTCAACTGTGTTCAAGAGTAATAGTAAACAGTGCGCATGCGTCATCATTGCAATCGTTGCTATAACGCCGTTGCTGTTTGATATTTTTTTTAGAATTCTTCTTTTCGCTTTTAATTTTGTTATGCATTAAGTTGGTGAGTTTATTTTTGAGATATGTATGGGACCAGAGAGATCCCATAAATACTTCTTGAGTTGTGAATTAAAGAGAATTTCATCACTTGAACGATATATTTTGTTTTCATTGTTTTAATTAAGAATCAGAAATTCTAACCTGCAGTTCAAACTGGATCGTTTTCAATTCTAATTCAGGCGAATATGACAAATAAAGAGGGTCCCAAACTCATTGACCCTGTCCCAAAGGTTAGAGTTGAAGCAAGAAAAAAAAAACGATTTTTTAATTTATTTTCCGACTTAGATGGATCAATATATACAAACTAGTGGCGTGCGCCCCTTGCTCGCTAACGCTCGCCAACCCCCGAAAATTGCTACGCAATCTTATATGGTTTGCTTCGCAAACCAATCTCGCTTCGCTCGCTACTAACTTAGGTACATTGCAAATGCACAAAATTCTAAGAATTCAAAACAATCATTCAAATCCATATAACAACTTTTTTTTAAAAAAAAAATTACATCTTTTTATTAAATACTAAGTCATTAAAATAAATTTGAATTCAAATAAATGACATGTAATTCGTTAAACCTATTAGAAATGTGCTATAGTATAAAATCAAGATAAAATTTCTAAAACCGATATCTCTTTAAAAAGGTTAAAATTTTGGCTATAATTAAGTCTATTAAAAATTGAAATAAGTGAATTGCAATGGAAAAACCTTCATAAACACATAAATTCTAGTAAAACAAATAAATTCGTGATATAAATCAAAAATCGTCAAATAAATTAGTAATATATAAATTTGTGAATAAAAGTGCTTTCGACAAAATACTAAAATAGAGATCTATCGACAAAAACTACTCACTTCTGCCTAGCTTATGCTCTCTGGTTATTTCAGTTTCCGTTTTTAAAAGCGCTACATGTTGAGCCATCTCAGCTAGATTTGGCGTGTGACATTTTTAGCGGCACTCATTGGTTGATTTTCTAGCGTTTCTATTCGGGGAGTTGTAATGAGGCTTTTTTTTGTCGCCTTGTAAGAGAAATATATTCGCATATAGATTTCCACTAATTTTATCGTAGAGGACTTATCCTCATAAATGATGATTCCCATGATTAGTAGGAAAATAATACCACAGTAAATTCATAATTATTCCAATTAATTAAGCTAATTATTTGTTTTTGTTTTTTTTTCTTTACAAATCATCAAATAATTTTGTATGATTTCGGTTATTGCCTATTAGTTTTTATATTTTGAGGGTGGCGGATTTTCTACATCTTAAAAGATTTTGGAAACATTCATGAAATAGCATCAAATTTTTCAGTTCATATCAGTCGTTCTGCTTATATACAGCGTTTCCTACAGCTAGAGCTAGTAGTTTTTTACTATCAATAATGTTTTAACTTATTATTTAAATATTTATTACTATTATATGTCGTTTTCACAGGCTTCAGAGCTGATTCAATGCCTTTTAGAGAACTTAATAATGGTAAGTATAAAAATATACAGTTTTTACTAAGTGTTCACACCCAATCTATGTATTATGTAAGGTTTTATGATTGACTATGTTTTAAGATCAAGTATAGTTATGAGTCACTTTATCTTTATTTTAAAATCACCATTTTCAGAAAATACTCTATAAATTTATTTTACATCTATTTTTCCCTAAGTTAAGGCAAACTGAAATTTAATAGCCACTTTCAAAATTATAAGCTATTTCAAATTTCTCTTTTGATGTTAAATTTCCACTGATATATATTTACATTAGAATATCATACTTTGATTAGACAGGTTAACGGAATGAATAACGTTTTTTTTTAAATGATCTGGACTGCAAAATGACAACAGATGAAGTTGTAAATTGATTGGTCCCGCAGTGGACTGGTCGTAAAGACACGGTTCCCTGTAGAACACCGAAGTCAAGCATCACATGGCTGCTGTCAGTAAGCTGGTGGGTGACCACTTTGATCAGCCTGCGTATAAAGACCGAGGGTGAGCGGTATCAGTCCTCCTTAAACTGTGCTACCGTAAAGTGCTCGACTTCGCGCGCAGGTCGTCGGGCTACCGAAGCGGGGGTGCCATCCCCTCCGCAGAGGATCAAAATTGTGATGGCATGTCTTCGGATCATCCTCCGGGGTGTTTCCCAGACCGTCGCCAATAGCCCATTGTGCAGCTCTAGTGCGACGTAAATTAACAACAACAACAACAACTCGACTTCCTGCGCTGGCCGTCGGGCTAACAAAGCAGGGGAAGCATCCTCTCTGCAGAGGATCAAAATTGCGATGGCGTGTCTTCAGATCATCCTCGGGGATGTTTCCCAGACCATCGTCAATAGCCCATTGCGCAGCTCTAGGACGATGTAAATAAAATACTTACCTACCAGGAAATGTGTTCAATGTTTGGTACTTGTGGGGAAAGAAGTTATAGACAATGTCAACCTTCATCTATGAACGGTTACCCCCACTTGGAATTGAGTTAACGTGACTTATGTAGTAGAGAATTGAACTTGTATTTTTGTAGTGGTAGATACACTACAGTACTCCCCCACCAGAATTATAGCTGAGATAGAATTCGATGAAAGAATACCACTAGTTGATTCATTGCTGCTTCGTGAGAAGCCGGGAGAGCTGTATTAAGATCACCGTACTCTTGAGTGCTGACCATGAGAACTGTATTAAGCTCGCATGGTCGAAAATAAAACGCAAAACCGCTAGAGGGCGTCAAAGTTGATGTTTACATATGAGGCAAAAACACACAAAGAACGATGAAGTTAGGTTATAAAAGCAAATTTAATGACATATGATTACAATAAGTGTTCAAAACAGTGGCCGGCAGCGGCTATGCACGCAGTACAACGGCGAACATTCTGAAACACACCAGGCATATCACGAACTTTCCCTGCTGCGGCCGGAAGCTTGGCGACAAGTAACGCACCGCAGTAATTCGCAACAGGAATGGAGCTTTCACGTTTACATCAAACAACCTTCCAAATGCGCCAGCACCTTTGCGCTTTGTTTTCGACCATCCATTATTTGATAAAAATTGTTTGTTTGGGCGTGTACTATCACTTCCTAAAATTTTGCCCATCTTTTTAGAATCACCCTGTATATTTTTCTTAAGTTCTTCGTTCTGTTTTTTACCGCAAACGAAAACCGTCTTTTGGAGAAATAAATTTACAATTTCTCTCATTGTAGAACTGCACTCAAGATATGAAGGCAATGGAGATGGTTCCCATGGCCATGGAAGAATCTGAATCAAAGGAAGTGAATATGATGGCACCCATGACCATGGAAGAAAATGAAATGGCTAATGATTCTTTGTAGACAACTACACAATACTATATAAAAATTTTAGAGTTAGTAATAAATATCATATAAAATAATGGTTGTTTTCTTAACTTTTATTCAGCGCAAACAACATGACATTTCTTTTAGATCTTCTACAATTTTTACAAGTAAAAGTTACAAGTTTTGACGCAAAGGATGGGAAAAGGAAAGGGACGTATGCCTCAATTTTATATAATTTCACGTCAAAAAAAATACTAAATTTTTTTATTTAAAAAGTGCATTAAAAACTGACAAAATATACTTTTTATATCAAAATAAGTCATCTTATGAAGAAAGGTTTTACTCTCTACTAATAAGATATTTTAAAACACCTCTGTCAAAGCGATTTCAAAACCTTAAAAGATTTCAAGATTCAAAACATTTTTCTAAGTTCAAAACATAATTATTTTTAATTAAGAAATTATTTAAAACATGTTTATAAATAAAATTAAACGCTTTAAAAATTGATTTATTCTACATGAAAATGGAAAAAACATTGTATATGAACAATATATCTTGGCTCACAGCGAGGCAATTGATGGTATTTAGGAGAACTTTTTGTCAAAACCTCTTCTCTTCGAAGGGATTTTCATTAAAATCTTTACCGTTTCCAGGCAACGGTTGTGATGTTAATGCAACCAAAAGTTTCCATCATGGTTACTACGCTGGTTTAAAACTGACTTAATTTGAAAAGACATTTCTTCAAAAGACTGCGTATAGCACGTGCAATGGAAAAATCAGCATAGACTACAAAAAATTTAAATATTTTTTTGTATGATAAATATTACATAGTAAAACAAAGTTTTTCACTAATCAATTTTTTATCAGTTTTCTAAGAATCTATTTTAGCGTTGTTAGCATTAGCAAGAAAAAGAAATTAGTTGTCAAGCCTTTTTTCGAAATCTACTGTGACGCACTTACGTTATTTATTCAATGGGATACCTGCAGGTGACGTAGTCTGGGTATCTCGATCCTGATTGGTTGTTGAAACGCGGCATTTGCTTACGTTAGCAACTGTTCTTCCTATTTTATTTCAAGTACACTATACCTATATATTCACTATACCTATGTATTCATTTTCTTTCAACAAAAAAAAACTCGATAAAATTGCACATTTTTTTAAGCAACATGCATTTACCAGATTATCGCCATCTTGCTATGCTTTCTAATTTATCCTAAAAATCTCCATGAAATAACGTTCTAATTTTTTTAATTTAAGCAATTCTCCAGATTATTTTGGATCTCATCAAATTAGTTTCAAACAGAAAAAAAAATTTATATAAAATAGTTCGAAGTACCAAAAACAGTTTCGAACTAAATCATTTTTATATTTTTGATTGTTAAAGTTTATAACACTTAGTTGAAATTTAAACAGCGCTGGCATGTTCGAAGCGTAGCAACTTGAGTCTGATCAGCAGAAGAACGTGAATAACAAAAATGTGGAAGAACTAGGAAAGTTAACATATAATAATGGTCATAAGTTCCAATAAAATTTTCATAAAAATTTTATTAGCCTTCAAAATTTCTTCTTTAATACTCAACCACTCAAAATAATATCGCGCACAAATCTCAAATGTTGAAGGGTATTATTTGTATCAGGGTATCTGATATTTTATACTTAGTACTTAAGAGTAACAGTAAGTATTTTAAATGAATACACGAAAAGAACGATTTCAGATTTTTGTAACTGATACTTGGTTGCACTGTGGAAAGAGCATGTTAATATACTATGTCAACCTTCTTCTATCAAAAGAAACGTCTAGTTAGAGTTAAGTAATGTGTTATATACTAGGGAATTGGTATTTAATATTTGTAGTGGTAGCTACGCCACATTACTCTCCCTTCAGAATTTTATAAGCTATCGAATCAGATGAACGATTACTAATAGTTGATTAATGCTATTTATTTATTTATTTTTCTCGCTAATTATATTTTCTTTTTTTTTTCTTTCTTTTAGTTATTTCTATAGTTAATTCTTTTTTTGTTAATGGCCGGGAGAATTGTATTATCTTCACCGGATTTTTGAGCTCTATTTTGTGAGCAAAATCAACTGCTCAATATGGAACATCCATCGATATTGGCGAGCTCACATCAAGCCGGAGTTCTGAGGGGCTATAATTATGGACTATGTCAACCTTCATCTATCACGTAGTGCCTCTAAATCAGGAGTTTCCAACTTACATGAGGCCGGGAGGCCGCAATTAAAAACAAAAGTCAAATGGCGGGCCGCAAACTTTATCAAAATTTTATATAGGACTCTTTTATGCTTGAAGGAACATTAAATATTACTGTCAGATTTTTTATCAAGTTGTACAAAACAAAAGTATTGAATTACAAATTAAAATAAGACGTAGATTTTTAAAAATATTTAATTGCATATTAAAAAATTCTGGTCACAAAATTTACAAATGTAAATAATTTCGTTCAAAATGAGTGGTTTCAAAACGTTAAATCGGAGAATTTCATCGAGAAAAATTCTGATTCGCACGCGCTAAATTATATTCTCAAAATACAAAAAAACGAAATAAAACCGAGCAACATACACGATTATTTTCGCATTTGAATAAATATTTTCTTGGATGCGAAATCTGAGAAATAAATATTTTCGCACCGTTGGTATGTTAAATTTCACAGAGACGAAAAAATTAGTTTTTTTTTCTAACGAATAAATTTCACAGAGACGAAAAAATTAGTTTTTTTTTTAACGAAAGAAAAGTATCCTAAACACATATTGAGTTTTTACGAAAATTTTACTAAATAAAATGACAATTAATATAGTTTAGTTCGCGGGTCACAAAAAAAAGCTACGCGACAGGATGCGGTCCGTCAGTTGGTAACCACTACTCTAGATAGAACCAGTTTAACATGTACTATATAATGGCGAATTAGTGTTTAGTAGTGGTCGTTAACGACACTGTATCAATATCAGCTTGAAACTGATACCAAAAAAATAAAATAAAAATCAATTGCTTACCTATGTCTAAAACGAAAGTCGAAGAAAACTAGTGAACAGAGCTCTTTCATATTCACCTGTTTTTACACGGGATTTATCTGTTTCAAATTAAATAATTTAGAACCTTTTTTTTTCGATTAAGGTTATTTTACTCAATATAAACGTCAGGGTGGGTCGTAAAATAAAGTTTTCATGTTATATTACTTTTAGATGACATAATTACTGATTTAGTACATACTAATTTAATGCACAAATAATATCAGGTAGAATGGTTAAATAGAGAGAAGGTTAAGAGAGCTAGAAGCGGCTAAGAGCACGAAACAAATTTTTTTTATTTTACGTATCTAGTGTTTAAACGGTGTTATAAACGAACTTTGACACGAAAGTGAAAGATAACAAATAACGTGTGGGAGAACTACATGTAGGGCGTTAAGACCGTATTTATTTAATGCAAGTTTAATCTATTAAGGGGTATAAGCCTAAGAAATCGTCGAAAGAATATAAATGAAATTTCATTTAAGTGATTGAGAAGTTCCCGTGCAACAGGTCCTGGGTTTGATCCTCGGACCGGGCAAGGTTGACTCAACCTTTCATCCCTTCAGTGGGTCGATAAATGAGTAGTTATCAAGCATGCTTGGGAGCTAAACACTGGGGATTTCGCGTTCGGCTGACCACCTAACCGGAACATCTGCTCCTGCACCCCAGAGCCCAAGGTCAAGAAAACTGAGATGGGCGCAGTAGGCTTTGGCCCTCCATGGGCTGTCGCACCACTGAGTTTAGTTTTTCAGTTTAGATAGAAAACTTATTAAAAGAGGGGGGGGACAGTTGTCATCATAAAAAATTAGTTTTTTTAAAATAAGAACGAGCTCATTTATGGTCGAACTATGCTTTTTAATTAATTCAAAAATTCTTTTGTAACTTAAAAATAAAGGATTTGTTTATTTATTTATTCTATAATGAGTTGCATTCCTAGAATAATATTTTACATTTTTGGAGAAAAATAAACTGTCTATATGATCAATCTTTAAGTGTAAAAATCAAATATTCTAAGAGAAAACACTTCATTAAATTTTCACAATTTACATTACTCACAGTTTAATCGTGTAAGACACTGCACGCAAAATTATATATCTGTAAGGTAATAATATAAATGCCAAAATCGATTAAAAACTATTTCAAAGGAAAGCAAAAACGATTTTCAAAACAAATAATTAGAAAATCGGCTATTTTAGAAATCGCAATATTTTATAAAGTCTTATGTTCGCTTTCAATTAATAAATAGAAATTCTTTTGACTGAAAATTAATTTTTGAGAATAAATTAATATACAGTATAAAGCTAGTAAAAATAATTTTAACTTTTAGAGATAGTAACTGATTTTTATTTTCAATTAGATTTGATATTTCTATTTGTTCCACGTGATGTAAGCAAGTGAAAGTGAAACTGAATTATCAGAAAAGTTGGCGAACTGCCAGATGGCGTCACATGTCTAATTGTGATATCAGAAACACTTTCAGCTGGTAACAGGGTGTCAATGTTCTAAAGTAAAATTAATAATTTAAATATAAAACATGGAAGCACCAATTGACAATGATGAAAAAATTTCCGGTATGTATTATGATTTTTAATATCTTGCATATTTATATTAATGTTTATACAGCCATTCGTGCTTTTATCGAAAATCGCCCTTCTATTTCAGATAGCGTTATTTGAAAACGAATTATCTGAAAGATAAAATACCTTTTTGTAAAATAATCAATGTGTTTAGCCACTACTCGATACAATTTATAATGTGTTTATACATTTATTAATATTGCGTTAGCTGATATCCCTTATTGTGTTCATAGCTTAACAAAATGAAACTAGACTAATAGTCATTAAGTAAATTCGATTGTTTATGTTCATGTATAAACCAGTGTGTGCAAGATTTTGACATGAGTCAGTTTTTAACGGTTTTAGCCACAAGTAAAAGCATCATATCCAAAACCTTCACATAACTCTGTTTAAAACCTATTATTTTTAAGCAAATCAAAATCTGTTAAATTAATGTATTTGTATACTACATATATTATTAATGTTTAAAATATCACAGTGCTTAATGTCAGATGTTACTATTCTTATATAATTAACATTATTTAAAAAATTTTGATACATTCAACTTATTAATTTTCTGATACATTATATCGCTCATGGGCTGCAATATCGGCACAACGCAAAAAATCCAAGTTTTGAGATAAGTGGGTTTAAAGTTTTCATTGCTAAACAAAATTTCATAAGAAATGCTTTAATTTGCTTAAACGAAGATTACCTTCAAGTTGAATTATGAGTTGTGCTNATATAATATATATGCATAATATAATATATATACATAATATAATATATATACATAATATAATATTATATATGTATGTGCACTTTTCTTTAATTTAAACTTTACTCGTAATTAAAAAAGCATTATAATTTTTATTGCATCTTTTCTAACATTTGGCGGCACATTTTAAGAATTTAGCGGCACACAAAAGTGCCACGGCACAGTGGTTGAGAATCACTGCTTTATTGTGTTCATAGCTTAACAAAATGAAACTAGACTAATAGTCATTAAGTAAATTCGATTGTTTATGTTCATGTATAAACCAGTGTGTGCAAGATTTTGACATGAGTCAGTTTTTAACGGTTTAAGCCACAAATAAAAGCATCATATTCGAAACCTGCACCTAACTCTGTTTAAAACCTATTATTTTTAAGCAAATCAAAATCTGTTAAATTAATGTATTTGTATACTACATTATTATTAATGTTTAAAATATCACAGTGCTTAATGTCAAATCCTTATATAATCAACATTATTTAAAATTTTCTGATACATTATATCGCTCATGGGCTGCAATAGCGACACAACTCAAAAAATCAAGTTTTCAGATAAGTGGGTTTAAAGTTTTCATTGCTAAGCAAGAAAGTATAAGAAGAGAAAGATTTTTTATAAGAAACGCTTTAGTTTGCTTAAACGAAGATTACCATCAAGTTGAATTATAAGTTGTGCTAGTATTGCTACTGAAAGAATGTGTATTTTCATATTTACACATGTTCTTAGTCCAAAACGCGTGCTTTCTGAGTTGTTGCACTATTGCAGCCCATGAGCGATATGTATATATGTTACTGTCAATGACCGAAATTGGTGTTTGTTGCCAATCACATAGTCCGGTAAATGTCCGAAATATATGGTAAATCTAGTTGACCGGGTTCGATTCCCAGTCGATACGAATTGCGCGTCCGGCTTGTACCAACCACAAAGCTGACGTGAAATATCCTCAGTGGTAGACGGAGCATGGGTTAGAGTCCCCTTGCCGTCAGGCTAACCGGGAGAGGTTCTCGTGGTCTTCCTCTCCATGTAACAGAAATGCGGGTTATCTCCAACAAAAAGTTCTCCTCGAAAGGCAAATTTCTCCCAATACTTGATTTAGGGAGTTCCCTTGTCTTCTGGATTGGGTTCAAAATGAGAAGGTTACGGAGTTGAACATGAGTAGCCGTAAACCCATAAAATTGGGTCGGCTGTTCAACGACGGTTATAAAATAAAATAAAAAGTAAGTCTAGTTAAGTGCCCGGTATGCCTTACATCAATGTTTTATTAAGGTCAAGTGCCACTGCCATGTATACGTTTGCCCGGTACGCCGAGCACTGATGTTTCTCCTAATTTTTCCTCAGCAGATATTAAAATATCAATTAAATATAATAACATCAAGGAATAATTTAATATCGAATCGGATATAGCAAATATTTCGAACATTTCACCAAAGCGACTATGTGATTGTTGACATTCACCGGTGAAAGTCGACATTCTCTTAATTTTGGTCATCGACGTTAACATATATCCTCTTACCCCTGAAGATTACCAAAATGATTTAAAAAATTAATTATTGTTTTTTTGAGTTATTTTGTTGTTATAGACAAAGAAAAAAATTTATTAATTAATTAAATTTCTTAAATAAATTAAATTTCAACATAATACATTACATTTCATACCATATATTTCAACATAACTTCTTTTCTGATATTACAAGAAAATGCCTTTGAAGAAAAACCACCCTTTTATTACATATATATGCTTTGATATTGACCACTATTATCTAACTAAAATTCTTCTTTAAGCTCTATAGCTCAAAAAGTATTTTGAAGAAATAATTTTGATAATAGAAAGAGATCTTTAAAAATTTTACTAATCAACCATACCAGCTGTTTCTAATTTTTTTTTTCGGCCATGGAACCCTACACTTAATGGATAAAAATCCAAAAAGAATTGTGAGCAAATTAATCAACGATAAACTATGATGTAAAAATTATAATTTTGTAAATATTTAGTGTGAAAATTTAGTGTCACACTAGATGTAACGTTTATTAACACTTGACATAAAATTAGGTTTCATGTCAGACTGTAGAATTCGCCAGTCTGGAATGGCATTTAGTTTAATTCGAAGTTGGAATTTGGTGTATTCATAAGCAGAAAATTAATAAGGAATAAAATAAACGTCAAGAATTTTTATGAGAAAATTATTGTTGAATTTTGTTATTTTATTTTAAATCGAAAGGCTCGATACGAGATACCAATGCAATTTTTTAAAGTGGATTTTTTTTTAATTATTATTCATTCATTATACATTGAATATTACTGCATTCTTAGAAATCTATACAGCTTTCGATTGAATACTACTGCATTATTAGAAATATAACGGGTTTCAAATATCATAACTGGTTAAAAGAAGACCTAGATATCAGAACCCCTGTGATCCTCCTATGGAACCCTTGTGTTCCTCGGATTCTTAGAAATCTGTACTGCTTTCGATTGAATACTACTGCATTATTAGAAATATAACGGGTTTCAAATATCATAACTGGTTAAAAGAAGACCTAGATATCCTATGGAACCCTTGTGTTCCGCGGAGCACATTTTGGGAACCCTTAATCTATACTATTATTTCTTTTTGTAAAACTTCAATATAATATAAATTTTAAACTTCAAATGAGTAGAAGTTGCAGATTCCACAGAATCCTTTCCTATTTTATTACATTAAAATTATGTTGTTTTCTTTCAATTAACAACTCTGTTTATTAATTAATACTATGTTAAAATTTAAATTTCATGCAATTATAAAACTGTTAATTCCGAAAAAAGGAGCCGTAGTGGCTATGGGGATAGAGAGCTTGCCTCCCACTGAAGTGAATCGGGTTCGAATCCTAACGATGGCTGGTCGATTCGAATTCCGCACCCAGCTTGCACTGACCTCAGTGCTGACATAAAACATCCTCAGTGGTAGACGGATCATGGGTTAGAACCCCTCTAGTCGTCAGGCTAATCATGGGAGGTTTTCGTGGTTTTTCTCTCCACGTAACGCAAATGTGGATTAGTTCCTTCATAAAGACCTCCGCGAAGGCAAATTTCTCCCAATACTTGAGCCAGGAGTTCCGTTGTCTTCTGTATCGGGTTCAAAATTAAAAGGCTACGGAGTTGAACATTAGTAGTCGTAAACCCGAAATTGGGTCGGCTGTTCAAAGACGATAATAAAAACAAGAAATCGCAAATTATATCAAAATAATATCACTAAAACCAATATAATAGTTACACTACATCTTTGAATTTATGGAGTCTTTTTAAGACTTCTTTCGTGATAAGAGCGCTCAAATAAAGAAAAACAATAAAGTAAGAATTAAAGGTAAAATATTTTTCTTATTTCTCAAAATCCTAATTTCTACTTCAATAATGATATTTTTAATTATTTATATATTTTAATATATTCATACATTTGTGTAGATTTAGATGTATGTAACTGGACATTTTCGGAAACAGCGTTATTTTTGGTGGGCAAAAAGTTAAAAAATATTATATTAGAGCGCATGTCCCTATGTAACATAAAGTAATGTTTTTTTTTTAACTTGGCACCTTAAATAAGGCTTGCGAGTCAGTGATAGGTTGGGTTTCAAATCCAGCTCTATTTTAAAAAAAAGAGAAAAAAATTTCTCTCAATCAGTCATTTCAATTTTTTTAGAAAGGATTTGAGTACACATTAATCATGAAATAAATTACTTATTGTTTTTTCTCTTAAATTAAAAGAACTTACTACCATCAATTAATAATGATAATTTGTTTCATTAACCGAAGCAACATTATTTTAAGGGTTGATTCGGGTTTTTCAATTATTTAATCAGAAACGAGTTTAAAAATTTATTACTGATCATTTGATAATTATTTACCATTCATCAATTATGTCAGATAAGCGTATGCAAATTCAATGCCGTGATGACGTCACCAAATTTTTAATTTAAAAACCTAAAAATAAAAATAACCACTTTACAGTAATTATTATTTCACACAAAGCTAAACTATTTTACGTATTTAAGCGTTATTGATGTTATCGCAAATTTTCAGCAGCGCTTAATAAAAAAACAACTCTTATCTGAAAAGTAATTAGAAAATTATTTAAAAATTTAGATAATCGATTTTCACGTAAGTTTATTTTCTAAAAAACCTCCAATAAATCTAGTTCATATTTTCACAAATACAAAATAATACAAATCCGTAGCTAAAATGACCCAAAAGTCTAATTCAGATTCATGAAATTATGTGTAGTTTTAGATTGTTCTTACACCCCCTCGTTTGTTCTTCAACTAATGACTTCATAAACTTGTTGTTCTAATTGTGCTAACTAGAAAGCTGCAAGAAATAATTAAGATGCATTTTAGACAAAATCGTAATACTCATCCAAGTACTACGATTAAACTGTTTAAAAAAAATCTGCTTTTAAGATATTTGTTGATAGGTTTTCAAAATGGCCACATTAGGCCGAAATACAGCGCTGTAAATGTGACAAAAAAAAATTTCTGCTATTGGTGGCCACAGCACACCTTTGTTCTATTCCTTGAATTATCATTTTTTTTTCTTATGAGGTTTTGCACAGACCTTTGGTTCCAAGATAAAGCAAGCGAAAAATTATGTACAGTCAAACTCTGCTATTGTGAACAGGTTTATAGTGAACTCCCGGTTATAGTGAACGAAATGTTCCCTCCCTCCGGACATTCTTGTGCTGTAAGGAAGTCCGGAAAATTCCGGCACTATTCTTAAGAGGTCGCTATTTGGCGGAAGAAACTTTTTATGGCAAATGCTATTTCACCTCCAGTGGTATTTTAAAGTTAAGGAAAAAGTGAGTTTAGGCTAAGTTAGAGTAAATCATGACGTTTCAAATGCCGAAAAACGTTTCCTAAATATCGAAATGCAAACAAACTAAAGGAGGATTACTTCCACACTGTTCAATCCTTAATAATCCTGCGATAATTTGTTTGCCTTCTAAAATTTTGAAATATTTTTTAATCATTTGAAACTTTGTGATTCACTTTAAATTTACTTGATCTCACTTTTCTATAAACTTCAAATTCTTACGTAGGTGAAAAAGAATTCGCCATGGAGGGTTTCTACCGCGATATAGACTCCTTTAGCTCTGTATGCTAGAACAGAATTCTGTTGGAAGGTCCGTTAATTTAATTACCAAAAAAATCACAAGATCTTAACGAAATAAGTTTCAGTTTACAAAATGTTGCAAGAATAAGATTTGTTGATAGGTTTGTATACAGATTTGTGTTATAAAGATGAAGGTTTTATACTTTAAGTTATTTTTGATCGCCGTCTGATCGTAATGTCCCCTCTTATTATTTCTAGGCAGCTTTATAGATGTTATAGAAGATGACTGCTCTTCGATACAGAGCGTGAATGTTCCATTTAGTGGTACAGCTGATGAAGTACTGCAGTACTATCTCGAGAATCGCTTGCACACTGACGTTACATTCCAGGTTCGATGCGGTGATGGATATGTTTGCTTTCCCTGCCACAAACTTGTACTGTCCATCTGGAGTCCAGTGTTCGCAGGCATATTTTTCAAAAAGGAATCCATCACTGAAAATGTTGAGATTACCAAAATGCCACCTTCGGCTTTCGAAGTCATGATCAAGTAAGATTTGATTTAATATTATTTTAATTAAACTATTATCGCCATAAGCTATGATAATTAAGGCTGTTGTTGCAATTAATCAACTTAAACTTCACAAGGGACTCTATATTCAGGGTATCTGCACACCTGGAAAGTCGTGAGAAATCATGGAAAGTCATGAATATTGAACAAAAGTATTGAACAAAATTTGTCTTGAAATGTCATGATTTTAACTATTTTTTTAAAAAAATCATGGAAAGTCATGGATTTAGGTCACCGAAAAATCTAATTTTTAAAATGGACCCCACAATTTCATAGTGTTCCGAATATCTGAATTTAAAATAAAATCCCCACTCACAGTCATATTTTATTAAAATATAAAATGTTTTTATCATGTTCTTTAAAAATTATGGTGTTCTTTCAAAACATGAAAGATAAAACATTTCTTGAGCGAATTATCTTTTAAACTTTTGTGATTTCTGAATTTTTGTTATTATTTAATTTTTTTATTTTATCAATTTAAAATTCTAGCTGAAGCAAACCAGTCGTTGGCGAATTTTTTTTTTATTCCGAAATGAGAACAGAAAAAATCAGGAGTATTTCTTCCTTTCCGATGAACAAGAAAAGTATCTTTAGAATATAATTCTGCAGAAAAAAAAATTATTTGCTTTTATTTTTTTTCAGCTATTTTATTGCTTCAACTCTTTCTTTACTCTGTTTTTTAAATTTAAAATCTATAAATATGAAGATGCAGAGTTTGATTATACCTATCATTTCAATTAATGTTTTTATAAGGCTTTTTTAAATTTATTGTTGTGTTTTTGTCGGACAAAATAACTTTGTTAAGTCATGAAAAATTTTGGAATTTGTCAGGGAAAGTCATGAATTGGAAAATCTAAAATGTAGCAGATACCCTGTATTTTCAATGAATAAATATAAATTAAAGTTTCATGATCTTAAGCTGCTTCCTCAAGTAAACTATATATTTTTTTAGTTTTTTTCCCGTTTTTTCTTCTTTTTTTCTTTTTTTGCTGCAAAATTCAAATCTACTATACGCATATAATTGGTTAATTTTTATGTAAAACTACAGCCGTATCTATTTATCCCGTGCCTTGATTGATACGACAAAGTTATGGTTAGACAAAGATCTAGAAGGAGAATTAAAAAATTTTAATAAAACCAAAGAGGCTCCCCCTAATGGCTCCCCCTAATATCAGACCTGCCTGATGCGTCACGATTTGGTCTCACCAAGGCTTTATTGCCTTAAGTATGCATAATATCAAGTGAGTTGCTTCGATAAATTTTGTCCATGAACAATTTTCATTCATACTTCAAAATTAAAATGGCTAATAATGCCTCCATTTATTGTAATGTTTGCAGATTACAACAGATAATGCTACAGTTCAAAGTTGACCTATTTTAATCCGGACAAAATTCAAAAAGAATTCAAAATCTGCAGAATATTTTACCATTGCTTAAACGCGACAACATTTCAAATCATAGGTTGCAAAAACTGTCTCCATTGATGTTTGTCAACGGATTGATTTTCGTATCCTGCCCTACGTGTTTCAAGACGTCACAAAATACTTTTCCTTCTTCAGCACATTCATATTTATATTAAAATCACCGTCAAGACAGTAATTATACGTTAATAATAAAAAGAATATAAAAATACTTTAAATTATTACTACGTAAATACATTAAAATTGTCTGATAATGAAAATGAAACGAAAAACAGCAGCGGTCGCCATAGCAACGCATGCAATGACGACGCATGCGCACTGTCTNTCCTTCTTCAGTATTCATATTTATATTAAAATCACCGCCAAGACAGTAATTATACACGTTAATAATAAAAAGAATATAAAAATACTTTAAATTATTACTACGTAAATACATTAAAATTGTCTGATAATGAAAATAAGACGTCAAACAGCAGCGGTCGCCATAGCAACGCATGCAATGACGACGCATGCGCACTGTTCACTATTACTCTTGATCACAGTTGATCGATATGTGGACTCCATCAAATCCAAACCAAGACCCATTTTGCCAATGGTTAATAAAATTTTAAAAAAAATGGTATTCGTTCATCGAATTCTATCACAAATAAAATCCTGGAAGGAGAGTAATGGGGCGTATAACTACCACTATAAATATTAAATACCAATTCACTAGTTTATAAAACGCTTCAGCTCGATTCTAATTCGAGGTTCTTTTTGTTAGATGAAGGGTCGATAGTTAAATCCCCTCAAATTAAGTATCCCACACTAGTTTATTTTTTAAAATTAAATAAAAATCTTCATAAGCATAGCTGGAACGTAATCCATTCTTGTCTAGGTCCTCTCTTATCATAGATGTCGTGTCTGGAGGAAAGAGACCTCTCCAACTGGTTTTCTTTTAAAAATTAAAATAAATAATAATATCAAACAAAATCTTTTATAAATCTTAAGTAATATTTCTGGAATTATATACTGTTCCAGGTACTGTTATGGCATCGAGACAGAACTGCAGAAATATCGCGATGACATCAACTTCCTCTTGAAGTTGTACAAAGGAGCAAAAGAGTACAGAATTAAAGGCCTTCAGGTGTTGTGCTGCGAATTCTTCAGCTGTGCCTTGCCCACCAAAGACAACGTCTTCGAATTGCTAGACGCAGCTTCATTCATAGGCTCGGAATGCTTGAAACATCGTTGCTACAAAGTCGTCCAGACTCACACCCAAGAAATCATACAGTCACGTGACCTGCGCAGTATCAACCGATCCATGATCAACACCATTCTCGAAATGTCGGCTCTCTCTTTGAAATCTGAAAATGAGTTGATCACTTGGATGTTTGAGTGGGGTACTCAGGAATCAACCAAACATGAAGATATTACCCTTAGGGAGATCATGAATCCCTTCTTACCTCGCCTGAACTTCCTATCCCTCAAACCCAAAGAGTTCGGATTGCTGGTAACTAAGCACAAAGACTTCTTTGATGAAAAAGAAGGTTTTGCCATTTTCATGAATATCGTTTGCCTTAAATCCTGGCCTCTTCCTCTGTGGTTTGGCAAAGAATTTAATCGTTCTTTCGTTGATTCGGAAAATTAATACTGTTAACAGAATTTTTTGTTCGTTATGACTAGTGTTTTAATTCTTATTACTTACTCTCCGTTACATTTTTCTAGTTGAAATTCCTTTTTAATATATCTTGTAAAAAGTGAGAGTTACTACTTTTTGGAAGGAGATGTTAAATAACTTTTTTATTTTCTCTCAAGAAAAAATGCCATTCAAATTGTAAACATAAAATTAAGATTTGAAATAAAGTTTTATGTTAGATGCTGAATTACTTTCTGGCTTGAATTGAATTTATTTCTAAATTGTTCCTTTGCCAAAATAAAAAAATAAAATCCTGAAATAAAAAATAAGTATTGCAGCAAATGCAGAGATGATTGTGCTCCGGATTTTTCGCTAACCTCGATCCGAAAGTTTTCGGAAATCCAAGGTCCAGAAGTTTCAAGAAATCATCGATTACATTTATGTATCAAAATTCTTGTATATTTTATATAAAAAATATTGGAACTAGAATTATTACTTGGCATCTCTTTCATTTGGAAATTTTTTTTTCTGGTAGAATAATAAATATGATTAGAGATAAAAGTAAACTTATACATAATTATTCATTGAAATTATGCTGTACATAATTTATTTAGAATTTCATGTTTTGAAAATATCAATGATTTAAATTTATAAGCACATTACTTTTTTGAAATGCGTCGTTAATGATTTTACTCGAGACGTTTTCAGGATTGAGTTTGGCTCACAATCACCGCTGCAAATGTAAATGTCTCGGAGAAAATATGTGTCACACGTTTTAAAACCTTCATCGATTGCGGTCCCGCAGTGGACTGTTCGTTAAGACACGGTTCCCAGCAGATCACCGAAGTCAAGCATCACTGGCTGCGGTCAGTGTGCGGGTGGGTGACCACTTGGATCAGTCTGCGTAGGGGCAGAGGGTGTGCGGTATTGATCCTCGTTAAACTGTGCTACCGTAAAGTGCTCGACTTCGCGCGCAGGTCGTCGGGCTACCGACGCGGGGGTGCCATTCCCTCCGCAGAGGATCAAAATTGTGATGGCATGTCTTTGGATCATCCTCCGGGATGTTTCCCAGACCGTCGCCAATAGCCCATTGTGCTGCTCTAGTGCGACGTAAATTAACAACAACAACAAAATCATCGATTGCGAAAATATTTCCCTGTGTTTTGATTTTTATTTTTTATGTATTAGTAGGAGGCTACGACAAATGATCGCTACGCTCACCAAACACCTCGGTCGTTACTCTTTCATCATAGATCAAGGAAAAAGAACGGTTTATGTCCACTTTTTACAAAAATTACGATAGGACTGCCATCTATTGCATTTTGAGGGTGACTAAATTTTGGTAAATTAATAACTTAGAAGATGGCTACCTCACCTTCCCTAGAGTTATTACTCAATGAAGATGGGCCTGTGGAAAAACTGTTTAGTGCACAAATCGGTTTTTTCTTGTTAGCTTTAATGGACATAAACCGTTTTTCTGCTTTGATCCTCTTAAAAATTGATTTTAAAAAAAGATAATTTTGTTTAGAAACTATAGAATTTTATTTCTGTCGGCACATTTTAATAATATGCTATTCGTAACCAAATGAAAGGATAGCTGGATTTGAAAAATAAATGTATTTGAAAAAAGATTAAACTTAAGAATACAGAATATGTGACACAATAAGAAATTTTATATATATATATATATAAATAAAAACTGAACTGATAGTTGATAATAAACTGAATTGGTGGTTACTGACTGAATTGACCACTCTTGAATGTTGACGATTACGTAGTTGCGTTGGGTAAATGTCCGAAATATATACTAGATTTAGTTAGGTGCTATTGCCCGTTATACCCTACACCGATGTTTTTGTAAGGTCCAGTACCACTGCCCGGTATACCCTACAACGATGTTTTTGTGAGGTTCAGTACCACTGCCCGGTATACTCTACAACGATGTTTTTGTAAGGTTCAGTACCACTGCCCGGTATACCCTACAACGATGTTTTTGT